GAATGACAGTAAAAGTCATAGAATAACAGAATGAGAGTAACACACAGAGTACAACACATTGAGAGTAACGAAAAGGTTGTGGCAGGTTTTATTGTGACAGAATGAGAGTAACATGTAGAATTATACCAAATGAGAGAAACCGGCAGATGGGGAAGGCAGAGTGTGATAGATTGCGAGTAGCGGGCAGACTGCGGCTGGCAGAGCGCGACAGAATGAGAGTAACAGGGAGCATCCGGCAGGTAGAGTGCGATAGAGTGAACGCCACATGCAATGTGCGTCAAGGAAAACACGATAGTTCAGAGTTCGGTAGACAGTGCGACATGTAGAATGCGATAGGCAGTGCCCGACAGATAGCTTCGTGGGTCAGGCAAGAGGCGATAGGTAAAGTGAGGCAGTAGTGGGTGTCTGGCAGAATTCAATAGGAGTGAGAGTTCGCCTTGAACTGCTGCCCGTTACCACGCTTCAGATTCCAGTGAATTGATTCAAATTGAGGTGGATGGAGTTGACATACCGGTCTTCATGATATACTGTCTTTCTTTATGCCTCTCTTCCCACTATCTTCACCAATCATTCTCTCAAATGTCCTACTTACACACGTTCCCCGACAAACAAGCAGACAACTACGTGCTGCAAATGAGATTATTAGGGAGGACAAAACTTCAAAGAATATATAAAATGTGTTTTCTTTTTTCTTTATGCTTCATCCGTACGGTTTCGACATTACAAGTCACTGAGTTAGCTCTTTTAGGTTCGAATTAGTATTCATTTTCTTCTTCTTTTTCTTCTGGTATTCAGTTTAGAGTATTATGAAACACCTCTCGGAGGTGAACCTACCCAGTACCAATGTCAATATTTAGAATTTTTGTCATAAAAGTTCCGCTTTGTCTACATACATTTTTCAATTTGACGTCCATGAGATTAGAGGTTGCGTGGTAACTGCCATATACGTTCAAGCACGTCAAAGCTAAACAAAAAACTGGATAAATATCGTGTGAGCAGGTCGTCCCCTGTGTTGAGGTGAGTTACACAGTTTCAGCGACAGGATATCAAACATTGGCCACGTGTTATATGATGATTCCCGTCACATACTCATTGGCAAAATGTTACTATCTTCGACTTGCCTGAGAATTCCCTAGAATCAGGCCGGCAATTGCACGTATTGGCGAACACACTTTCGAGTACCGAGATTACCTCGGGTACGAAAACTGATAATTCATAGTTTATTTGATAAAGTTTGTATACACTATTTTCATATAAACTACATAAAACAATATACGAGTTCAAATATCGTAAACAGAATAATCACGATTACCGCATACACAGAGAGATAACTAAAACTCAGAGAGTCATTATTGAAGGACACACCCAATGATTGAGGAGGGAATCTAGAAATAGTCTAAAGAAATACAAGAACTTTTCATGCCTATGGCTTTAAAATGGTTATTTTACTATAATATCTTACAGGAACTTTTTGTATGAAATTTTTTCAAGTTTAATTTTATGAAGAGTATAATTTTCGGGAGAATTTATAGTAATGGAGGTAAATGCAAAAAAAACAAGAAAAGACACCTTTCAACTGCCCCTCTTTCCGCCCGCTCATCCCACACACTTAGGGATTTTTAGTATAATAAGCGGTAGACATCAACAAACAATAATGCGAAGTTTCAAAACTCAAGAATTTTTTTCCTTCGATCATCAATTTTAGAACTAATTTGACTGAACTAATAGCACTTCTATGGGCTCACTACTTTTCATTTAATCCAAAAATCACGAAATTTAGTTTAATGCTCAAACGTCTTTCTAATTGGAAACCTTTCGTGTTTTAGATGTACCGCCGTAAAAAGTATGTTGCGTACAAAAGTATATTTTATTTCACTTGTAAGTCTGTTTCTCTATTTCTAGTAGCAAAGTACATTAAATAAATGAAACCTAATGAGAAAGTTTTTGTTTTTAAATTACCGAAAAGAGGCCCTGCAGATATTAACCCGGGAGAGGTCGCGTCTTGCCTACGATCGCTATTAGTCAGCTGGGAGAAAATGGACCTTGGAGAAAATTCCATTGCGTAAGTGCCTTCTAACATCATGGGGTCATTTAATTCAGTATTAAAGTGATTGTTACATCTTTAACTTCATTTACCGAAGTCTTCTTATTTTAAAATTAATAGTAAAAAGTACAAAGTTCATCAAGCACTTGCTTACGTGCAAAACCATGTTTTTTATTCTTATGTGGCAAAAGAAATGCATAAATATTAAAGCACGGTAATTGTTAATTAGAGGATCTGTAAGTTCCGGAACACAAATTTTTACATACAATCTTTACAACAAACAATGAATTGTGATTTGTGTACTACTGTTTCGTACTTTTCACATTCACGGGATGCTTTAAATTTGCCCAAATTTCTTGGACAAATTTCATAACTTGTCTTCAAGATTTCTTTCTTGCAACTTCTGTTCTAAATGCGATTATTGTTCTATTTTAGGTATCAGCTCTCGTGGGCATCCTTTTACCATCGTCCTTAGAGTAGAGCCAGGGCGAATAGGTCCAATAAGTTTCCGGAGGTTTCTGGAAGTATCGCGAATCCTCCTGAACGTTGACCGTGCAAATTTTAATTGTGTGACAGAAAATAGAGGTTACCGCAAGGACTCCTGAGCAATGGGCCAGTTCATTCAAATTTTTAATGTGTGTCTAAACTAAGAGGTCGCGGACTGTAAACAACCCAGAGACACTCGCGAGATACAAATTAATTTCTAGAATTGATTAAAGCCGCAAAGATAATATAATATATATATATATATATATATATATATATATATATATATCGGGGAAGGTATTGAAAATCATAAGAGTATACAAGTGTCAAACAAAACTGTACATGAAATAATAAAACGTGGATCCAAATTCTCCCACGCCTCCTCTCTCAGGTTAATTTCTTAAGAATCTTCGGATATTTGTCTCTTATCCTGTCATAATGTCTGCTAATCTCTCAATCGCGAATACCTCAAATTCATTAATAGAACCGTAAATTAGTTCGCGAGTAAAATCTCTACACGCGGTGACGTCATATAGGAGAAAGATGCCGCCTGGAAAACATCTTCTTAGCTTTTGTGTACATTTGCATTTCGTGTAAAAAAAAGTACACAAGAAAACCAAATTATGTCAATAATCCATGTTTTTGGTCGATGTCGCGTGCATAAGTATTTGCTACGCACTACGCAAGGGGCTGCGGCAACCCGCAGTACACGACTGCCAAGCGCGTTGCTGCTGTGACGTCACCTCCCGGCGCTGATGTCAATTCACACGATACATTTGGAGTTGGGCAGTTGGATAATAGTTGTGCCATACTGACGTCTATGTTTTCAACGCATCTATGTTTTTATAGATACATCTATATTTTAAACATCAATGTGTTAAATCCAATAGTTTTAAAGATGTTTTGTGCTCGAGGTTGTACTTGTGAATGAAAAATTATTATAATCACAATGTTGGAAGAGTTAAAATATAACTGATCAGTTTATATGGTCGAACCAAACAACCGCTACCTTCATCGAGTAGACTATCTCTCTCGCTTGAACTGACCCCAATGCCTTTCCAGCATTTCCGGAGCATTTCCTCGTATTTCACCCGCGGAAACGCGAACTGCGCATGCGCCATGAACTTCTCACCTTTCTCTCTCGCATCCTTCTTTAGACAACTGGAACACTGATCTTTCCGAGACGTCCCTGGGCGATCAGGCTTGTTGTGGAAAACTTGAAAAATTTCCAGGAAAATCCCTGTTTCCTGTAAATTAGTTAACTTTTTTTTTTTTGCTAAATCTCAATTATAAATTAATACACACAGCCACTATCAAACTGAATTTTGTTGCGCACGAATTTAATGTTAGAGGTTACTAACCGGATTTAAGATATCGATGTTTAAAAACATGTTTTTTTGTCAATGTATTATTAAAGTCGATGGTGTTTTTTAAGTTCGACGTCAGTCTTTGGTAAGGATGCAAAGGAAGTTGCATCACTGTTACGTAATGCATGTCGTGCATCCAGCCGCCAGCGTCGTTCGGGCATATGTTAGCTCGATTGTTTTGGCTTACCATCAGAAGTTCTCGGTGAAACTAACACAACCTTTGATTTGATTTAATTTGATTTCAAAAAGACTATTTCGCGTAGGGAAGGCAGAATAATCTGTGCACGTTTTCTTGAGCTCTCTTTTTCGCAAGTTTCCTACTCAGACCTTAAGCGCTAATAGTCTAAATACTCTCCACCGTAAGCATCTTTTGAATCATTCTTACATTTATAACTCTACTTTCGTAGAAGATACACAAAATAGTCGATCAAAAGACCAATTCTTTCTCATTCTCCTCAGCTGATTCTTTCTCTCTCTTTCTCACATATCACAGGCTTAGTTCGCAAACAATGTATATCCACTCATGGTCATTTTCCAGTTAGAATCATTCTTGGAATTCTTTCAAATCTACCAAGTGAACAAAGAGTGTACGTCTACATAAGAGGGACGATGCTTTTTCTCGCAAAGCAAACATTGTCGCTCCATAAGCAACTCACCTGTCCCGCTCGTGGCTCGACAGCCCGATACGAGCAATGGCCGACCAGCGGTGGCCCAGCCTCTCGGCCATGGAGTAAAGGGTTCGTAGTTAACACGAAGACATCCCTCCATCGTATATACTGGTCTTCTTAACCTTGGGGTGGGCTTTCTCGTCGTCACACAGCAATAGGTACTGGGATATTTGTAAGGACGGTTCGCACTGTTATAATTTTGTCCCGGCTGGGCATCGAATCCGGGGTTGCGCCGTGGAAAGCGAGCACGCCAACCAAGGAGCTCCCGAGGGTTTATAAGCAAGTGTACCTTTACAAGTTTTCAAGCTTGGTTTTCCCGCAACTAGAAATTCTGGACGTGTGCCTATATCGTGTGTGCTGTATACCATAACATAGATGTACGAGTCCATGTGCACGGCAATGTTTTACTGACTGGTGCGCGTGGTGTGTGCGCAGGACGTGGCGTTCATCAACCCGGCCAACGTGGTGTTCGTGTACATGCTGGTGCGCGAGCTGGTGCAGGACGAGGAGCTGCGCTGCGAGCAGGAGCTGCAGGCGGTGGTGCTCACCTGCCTCTACCTCTCCTACTCCTACATGGGCAACGAGATCTCCTACCCGCTCAAGCCCTTCCTCGTCGAGGACGACAAGGACAAGTTCTGGGACCGCTGCCTGCTCATCGTGAACCGCCTCAGCCGCAACATGCTGCGCATCAACGCCGAGCCGGGCTTCTTCACGGAGATATTCACCGAGCTCAAGGCGTGCGGTGCCAACGCGACGGTGGCGCCTCCCGCGCGGCGGCGGCGGCGGCAGCGCCGACGCCCGCGCCGGCGCCGCGCCGCCCCCCGCGACTGCCCCGCACCCGCGCGCCCGCGGCCCGTCGCCGGCCCGGCCGCCCCCGGCCCGCCCGCCGCCCCCGCACCCTCCCCCCGCCCCCGGCCACCCCCAGCGACAGCTTGACCGCCCGCCCCGCGCGGCCCCTACTCCCCACCGCTGCTTCGTGAGGCGTGTCTCTCGGCAAGCCCCTGCCGGCAAGCCGCCGTGCCAGCAGTACGTGACGAACGCTGTGACGCGCGGTGGCGGTGGCGGCGTTGGCGGCGCAGCGCGGCGGCCGGCACGCGTCGCGGGGCTGGCCGCCCCACGCCGCTCCAGCAGCTGGCGCGCCCCCCGCGCTGCCGCGCGTCTTGACGCGCGCGAGCCCCCGCCCCGCAGTGCGCGCCCCGCGCGCACGAGCGCTTGCCCCTCCGCCTCGAGCTCGCGAAGCGCGACCCGGCAGCTCCTTCGGCGCGCGGCTCGTTTGTTTCAGGGGCTGTCGATTTCCCGCCAGAGCTTGTCCCTTCTCCTTCGAATTACTCGGCGACCGCAAACACCCTCCCGCTCGTCCATCACCGTCTTTCGTTGATCCCGTTTGGCATCGGTTGCGGGAAGCAAGAGAGGCGACTCGAGGCTCGTTGTTCCGTTCCTCGGCTCTTGGGCTGCGGATTGTGATGTTCGGCTGACGGAAATTATTATCTTTGTAGGTTTCCCGGCTGTAACAGCACTTAATTGACTCTTCCTTGCAGGCAGACGAGCCGAACGCTACAGGGTGCTAATTGGCCGAACAGATCAGAAAACAGCGGAGCTGCGTCTCCGGACAGTGGACACTGTGGTTGTCACAAATTGTAAACGAAATGCGAGAAGGACCGCTCGGTTTAACATGCTCGATTAAAAATACGTAATTAGTTTCGTGAATGTCATCTTCGAGCCTCAGGAAAGGCGTCATTTATCTCCTTGATCATACAATTTGCATTGGTGCGATACTATTGCACTTGCGGCCTTGCAAAAGAACGGTAACTGATAATCCGTAGGACTGAGCAAAGAGACTTCCCAGGGTCACAAAATAAATATTTAAAGATTGATCAGAACTTTGAAACTCTTGAATGAATTTTTGAATTAGTATCTATTACAGTGCTGATATTGTGAAGTTTATAATAATTGACAATTTTAAAGCCCCTCCCCCGCAGGTTTTTTTTATTCACAGAGAAAATATATGGCTATTATAACGCTGATTTTTCTATTGACAACTCCTTATGTTTGCTCTGTACAAAGCACCACATCCAGTGCATTATGACTAATATTGTCAATTTTTTTGATACTGTCCTTATATCTTTTTTATTCATGCCAAAAATAATAGCAACAATAATGTTAATCCAATGAAATAAGAACGTTTTTATCCATTTTAGTTCTAAAATATAATTACAAATTGGCCTGTTCTCTAGATTGATTTAATCATACAGTCACCTTCCTTATTTCAAACAGGTTAGTCCAGTAACACCAGATTAATTCATAAATAGACAAAACAAAATACTGAAATTTTAATGGAACTCATTTTTTAAATATCATTAACATTTGTGTTAACAATTTACAACATATATTGATCAAATTTTAAGGCTAATGAAGTACATTCTGCAATACTTATCTGATCTTTTGCAATGAAATGAATTTCAAGGCAATATAATTCAGATCTTTGGAGTAACATGTGATCTATTGCAAGTTGTTCGTAACAAATATTCTGAAAATGAAACTTAAGTTGATCTTCCTTAATAGTCTATGTTGCACATTTAAGCTCTCTACTCCCACATGGCATACTTATGACAAAGTAAAAAATAGAATACTATAATGTCTCTTTCAATGTTCTGTGATTTTCATCTACTTATTGTATTTTAGCTACTTTATTTATTTTCATCATTTCAAATAACACTGCAGAAGTTTTAAGTTGTTACATTTATTCAACTTTTAACAATACTTGTAATCACAAAATCAAGTCTCAGGAAAACAGTGATAAATCACCTTATTACCATTGTGCATATAAAATAATAGTGCCTTGGAATCAACAGTGCTGAACCTACTTAAATTTTTAGTGTCCATAAATTTGTTCAAAATAATGCATTTCTTAATATAAAAATCCCTTATACAAGACTGAAAAGATGAAATTTCATTGCACGCCCTTTAAAATTTATTAACTTTTCAAAAGATTATGTCTTTTGTGTCATGAATGAGTGTACCCAGCTTAAGGTTAAACATGAAAACCATTATGTTTCTACTTTTCTCCACAGAAGTATAATATACTAAATAATATATAATATTTGTTTGCTTTTGATTGTCAAAGAACACGTAAGATTTGGAGTCCTTCACTCTTTTTCCTAAATAATTCATTTGCAACCTTCATAAATTGAAATTGCATATACAATAACTTAATCTCCTATAATGAATAGACAAGCATTAGGAATGAACATATAATTATCTTTGGTGAATTGCATTTTGAACTATGCTTCTTTAACATGTGGAAATGCATTCTATCACATCAGGTAGTAGCATATATTAAGTTAAATCTCTATGAACTCAGAAAAAAATTGAAATGTTTAAGGTATCTAAATTCATTGTCTATTCAAGTCATGCAAGGAGATTTACGTACATATTTTCTTTAATTTACATTTCTTATGCCTCAAGAGAGAAAATACGTGTACTAATTTCCCATCTAATGATAGCACATAAAACTAACAACTAAAGTGCCTTGATATTCACATAACTATCTCTTGGAACATTATATATCAGCACACACAACTGACAAAATTATTATTCTGAGAATGTTGCAAACAAAATCATTTTAAAACTGCATTTGGGGGAGGGAGGGGGGAATGATCATCAACTGCTGAAAATATTTGTATATATAAAACAAATACATTTGCAAGTTATTAAAGCATTATATTACTGAAATAAAAACTTGAATATGTCAGTATACAAATACCGAAGAAAATATTAATTTTGACATCAAAGTAGTATGACTGGTTTTCAGCAATACTGCCCACAACAACATCAGGTATCTGTTAAAATGGGACTGGATGTGACAAATCAGAAAATATTTTCTGATGAATTTTGCTTATTTTGAAATATTAGAGTTAATTTTTGAATATATTGTTGTGAATTGTGTTGTTAGCTGTGAATTATAAACAAGTTTCTTTGGTGAGCATCAAATGTGTGGAAATTTAAGTGAACAAGAACATTATCCTACCTAGCCAATGTACAACGTATGTTAAGTTAAAATCAGAAGACCATAGAACTCTCTCCTTTTTTTGACATGCAATTGCACATAAACTAACAATATCAGTACTTCCTTGTGGGATTAACCTATAAAATCAGCATGATTCTGATGTCATCAAATAAAAGAATGACCTTTTGGGATTTATTACATTTGAATAATAAATACAAGAAGTGTTAAATCAGTTAGATTCACATGTAAAACACTTCTGAAATTCCTTACACACAAAATTATTCAATGATTAGTGTTAATTTTTCTACATGTATTGAACTTGATGAACTTTTAACTAAACAGTAAAATGCAAACACAGATTTAAACACTCCAATAATTTATTTTAAGAAACTTTATTTGCTCAGTCCCACTGAAGTATTTATTAAGAAACCCGTTTTTGGAAAGTATGAAAACAGACCTCACATGCAAGTGATTTTTCTGCTATTTGTTATAATAGGTACTGATGGTAAATGAAGTCAATTGTGACATTTTCAGGAACTTAATTCTTGAGTAATGATGCCTGTTTCTCATATGCATTAAAGTTCATGGCAGTTTGCATTTACAATTATTTGTTAAAATTCAAAGCTGGGCAAAATTTTAACATTTGCAGATGATTGTAAAATATTGTGTAATACATCTGCTTCAAAATGTTTATTGTGATTGGTTGATTCCATCCAAAATACTGTAATGCATTCGGATATAAAGTAAATGAAACTCTTTACATGGCAGAAAACACACTATTTATGATAAAGGTGATATTCTCTTCCATCCACGGTTGGGTGGTGGTTCGCCAGCAGAGGACAGCAGAGGAGGGACTCAGCCAACCCTGTCCGTTTGAAGTTACCCTGGCCAGATGGTGAACTCTGCTAGTCCTTTTTCCCTTGGCACTGTTCCAACACTCTAAGTGCCATTTCCTCTACTTTGAATGCCAAAGATAGTACTCTATGCTCCACTCCAATAAGTGATTATACATATGGCATATTGACATACAGGATATGTATAGTGTTATGTCTATTGTATTGTTTCCTTGTTTATTTATTTATTTGTTGGATTTTCTTCTTTCTTTGTTAAGAGTTTGATGTATTAACTCTTAATTGTGTTTGCTCTTAATGGAGATTGCTATATGAAAAAAAAAGATACTTTTTTTTCTAACATATTTTGTAAGGGCAGCAAACTCCAAGATACCAAATGTAAAAATGAACATTATTCTTTGATGATTTTACTGTTTGGTGTTTGATAAGAAAATGATCTGAGTGTTCAACTTGTTATGCAGTGAATTTCTTAGAGTAATGATTAATATTGGACACAGTGTGTCAGATGTAGACTGACTTCCAAACTTTAAATACAAGACTTAAATTCCAGCTGCTCAGGGCAGTTTATTAGGCTATGTAAACTTGGTGCAAATATGCAGCCAAAACATGTGCCGCATTTCAGTGTGACACATCTGGTGGTTACATGAACTATACTTTTTTAAATTATGGGGTTACGAAAGTATTAATGGTCTCTAAATTAAAAACAGATTTTGTTATTAAAATGGTACCAGTTCCTGTTCAATGCTCCATAAAAACATGTATGAAATATTATTCATTAAAATTCACAGATACTCTTTCTTAACATTTGAATTTTAAGATAATATTTTTTGAAAGTAATTCACTGAAACTGTCTTTGGAGCAATAAGAGGAAGATTACATTCCATTTTAATCTCAAGAAAAGAATATTTCCAAGAATACAAAAAATAGCATGTAAGTTATTTTATTTTTACAGTAATAGTAGATATTAATATTTGAAGAAATTTATTGAAGAATTGACCCTGAAGAGTAAGTAAATTGGTTGAAGCAATATTGATTAATTACATTAAATCAATATGTGATGCATGCATAATTCAATACAA